TAGCACCTCTAGTAATATATTTACTGAGAAAAATGGTGACATGTTCAATACTTATTTTACCCGCTGTACATACATATATAGATATATGTACACACATGCATGCATTCATACATATACCTTTACATATCCACATCTATGCAGTACTTACATACACCCTCAATGACCATCAGAAACCCCAGAATCTGAACACCAGTTTGTGTGCGGTTGTGAACAAGCATGTTTATACAAGATTTTTCCAATGGAATATTTAATAGTGACTGTGGAGACCCAAAGACCCGAACCCCAAGACTCGAAACAGACTTAAGGGAGACCAGAGCCAAAGACCCCAAGAGTGACCCCAAGCACAGAGCCCCCAACTAACATTTTTGAGACACTGATAGCAGCTTCAACATTTTTGAYCTTAAGACAACAGCCACATCAAAATTATATATTTTCCTATTTTAAAATATAAAGTTTGTTTTGTTAAATATAGCTGCATTGGCAGATCTTCTAGTTTATTTAAACTGTCCAGCCTTCTAAACATCAAAGACACAGGAAAATTTATCTCAGCAACTGTCTTCTTTATGTATTTTCCAAACTTCATCCTGTTCATACTCATAGGGTCCTGGAGCAGCAACTATCTTAATGTTCAAAGAAATCCTGAAGCTTCACTGATAAAGACCACTTGAACAATTACACCATCTAGATGTTTGGCAGCAAAATATGATATCTGAGCTGTAGTTTAAATAATTTTTTTGGTCTGTTACACAGTACTATACGTCAGTTTGTCTGTTTTTTCAACCTGTTTTTGCATATAGTCTTTCATATCATAAAAGTACATTCAGAGTTTGGAGATAGAAACAAAGACTTGTACAGTTGAACTTAACTGCACCTAAACTGATTAACTAACTTATCGGTAAAAGTGATCATTTTCAGAAATTGTCTAAAACGTCTCATCAATAGGATGCTGTGCAAAAGTCAACACAAATACCAGAATAGATGAGGAAGTGGGTGACTGGGAGTCTGGGGAGGTTTAAAAACTTAGTTCTGTGGCTTTCAGACTCCACAGATTTCTATAATCTACAAGCAGATAAGGTTTGAAGCAACAGTGAACTTTCCCAGAGGTTGTCGACTCTCCAGTATTCCTCCTAAAGCACACCAATGACTCATAAAGAAGGATACAAAGAAAATGTAAGACACAGTGGGCCTCTTTCACCTCTAAGGTCAGTGTTGACCCATTTGAAACACAGAAGGTACAAATGGCACCATGACAGTGTGCAGAGGTGCAAACCTCTGCCAGCCTGAAACCAGACAAAGCCTTGTCTGTTTTTGCATATTTCTCTGCACACCTTGATGACACACTGAATCTTATGAGAGGGCTGTGGTTCCAATTTGACCTCATAAAAGACTATGATCCAGAAAAATCTAACATAAACCAAACACATACTCTTGTAAAAACCGATATTACAGTCAAGTTTTCAGTTTTTTCATATGTTTTTGCTGTGTCAAAGTGACTTTCTGGGACTAAGGGAAACATGACTTCAAAAACAAAAAAGGGAACATCTGGTCATCACTCAGTAAATCAAAACTCTAGCAGATCAGGCTTATGCAGTAAGACAAAG